TATGGAACCTTTGGTCAAATAAGGTGGCCCATTCGACAGATCCCATTTTGAAGCAATGGTGTGTTGAACTATTGCTGTAACTTGAAAGCCATTATTGATTAAAATCCGTGAGAATTGTCCGTGAGTGAGTTCCGTGGTCAATCGGCAGTATGAGTATCAGAGATGGATGCTTGGAAGTAATGCTTCCCTGACATCGGGAATCTGTGAACGCCTCTTAGGACAGTGAAGCATCAGGTGATCCTTAGCACAAACTCTACATTTATGGTGACTCATGTAGCCTGGGTAATCTTTTTCACAAGCACACGAGGCAGTATAATTCCACTGCCCACAGGCTTTGGATTGAATTGCCTTGTTGGGTGAAGATGGGGCGTTAGAAGCATGTGATTCGACAAGCTAGACGCAGCATTTACTGCCGGGCAAAGATCTGAAGGACAAGAAAATAGATGCTTTCTCGTGAATAGCAGAGAGCGACTTGTGCATAGAAATTACAAACGCTTTTCCACAGGTAATGAGAAGCTTTTAACATGACTACCTCGAGGAGTTGAAGCATAGCGTCTTTTAAACGGGGTTTGTACGGTTTGATCATGGTGAGATACCCCACTACAAAATCTGCCATCTCCAACTTCTCAAAAGTAACTGCTGGCGCACCTGGAACGAAGTCGTGAGGCCAGTAGATGGACATTTTTTTTGTCTGACCTCGAGTTGTGGGGATACGTCCCCATTGAACTTGAGTGGCTTGGTTGAGATTTCAGCAATTCTAATGTAATTTCGGCAATTCTAGCTCAAGGTTTAATTTGTCCCACTGAAGTTCGACAAAACGCCACTCTTTGGAAGACGCGGGAGGATCCAGTTGTGGAGCTGAGGTAGTAACTTGAGAACCTGGAGATGTTCGTTCCAACGGTAAAGAAGGATACTCGCGTGGTGTTGGCTTTGTTGATTTGCTGCTCTAACAGATCGATTTAGTCATCATATTCAAAGAAAGGATCGACCTTTGGCTTGTGTTGACGAGTAGAGCGTCCCGTAGGTTTTGCTTGAGCCATGAATTTAAAGAGCGCAATTCAAATGATGTTGCTGCTGTGAGTGACATTATGACTGTTGATTAATCTATCACTTATATCTATGTTTGTAGTTATCATCACTGTAGCACTTACTTTAAACCCTTTTGGCGCCAGGAATTATTCCAATGTTACATTTCACCGCCATATTTATTTTGGAATTTTCCAGTAAAAAGCGTGTGTACTTTTCAAAAAAAATAGTCCTTCTGTGATAAAATAGAATTTCTTTTGGAGTGAAAATATATTTAAAATCATTTTTTTCGAAAACAACGTGTCACTGGCAATGGCCAAAGAACAGATTGAAGTAAATTAAATTCTTTACCTGTAATTTATGTTCAACTGCCTAAAAAAAGATAAATCTGATCAATCTCCTGTTTAGATGACAGTTCTGCAGATATATCACTTGCTTATCATGGAGGAAGATTATAGACAACTTGGGCTTCTCTACTCTTAAAGTCTGTATAAGTATGATATATCTCATGACAAGGCATGAAGCACATTGGTTGATTGCATTGCTTGCATTTAAAGTTTGTTTTTTTCCTTGCCCAGCCTTCCTTTCCTCTGATCTTGCTGGCAAATCGACACTTGACGGTCGACCAAGTCTGCTGTTACCCTTGCAATAACCTAGTAATCCATTGATTACAAGCTCCCTGAATTTTCCAGGAGGTACTGCTTCATCCTTCTTTATTGAGGAGTATACAATGTATGCATTTACCATGGCTACTTCACGTATTCTGTGATATACTACAAAATAACACTTGGATGATTTGTGAGGGAATGCAAAAGTTCCCCGATCAGATAAACCAATCTTCGTAAACAATCGAGCCGACACAGGCAACCCAACCAATGTCAAAGAAGACCTTTCTTTACGCGAGTGATCATAATTAAATACCGTGTATCCCAGAGACTCTCTCGCTMTAGTTATTCTTGGTCGTAGCTCTCGTTATTGCGTTCGGCTATACATATATTTATACAGCCATTTGCAGAAATTATGGCCGCTTCCAATATATGTACAAATATATCAAAAGCATGTCAAAAAATTATTATTATCCCTGATATTTTTTTCGAAAAGAATATCAAGAAAGATATCCAGCCGTGTCTGATAAATACGCTTTTGATATACTTGTATGTATATTTGAAACGGCCATATGTATATAACAATGTAGGAAACATTTGCATTCTCAAATGAGTTCTCTCAACAAAGCGATGTAGGGTGCCTTTTGCTTTTTCGTTATTTCTTCAATGGACAAGTCAAAATGCTCACATACACTGTGCAGCATGGACACACTCAGTCCACTTAGGTTCCCAGATGCTTAAGATCACACAAGTTGAAGGTATCAAAAACAATACGATGTTGCAGTTGAACCTCTTGCAATACAGGCATGCGCGTTTCCTCATAAGCTTCTTGTTCTTCAGCAGCTTCGATTTCTTCATCCCGGTACTCACCAACTTGTCCTTTCCAAAGCTTTGACACCATTCTCGAAAAAAAGGACTGAACTTGCATTGGAGTGAGAAATTCTTCGCCTGAAAATTGTCTCGTTCGTTCCTTGTTCCTAGCAGAGTGCATCTCTGTTGCAACGGTAACTGGATCTAGCTTGCAGCCTGCAACCTGGCCAATCTTGAACTTGTCTTCCAGGTATTTTCTCTGTGTTTCAGAGCCCAGCCTTTTGAAAGAATTATTCCATTGTGCCGAGCCGTGTCTGCTTCCAGGTTGATTTTGGAGCAGGCCCCCTCCTGCAACTTTACTTGGTACAAAATTTTAGCCTTGTCTAGGAGCGTCTCTCTCTCGGGCACAGTTTTGCACTTTCCAAACGATAGGTGCTTCTCCAATGCAGCATGCTTTTGGTACAGTTTAGCACATCCTTCATTTGGGCAAGGTAACAGCAAACACGAAAATTCGGTGTCTAGTCCACTGTTCCCTTCTGTGGGTTTCTCTTGGCCATCTGGTTTTTCACTTTGTTGCTTCTTTGATGCTTCCCATGTAATTTCAATGAAATCTCCCAAGGAAAAAGGAGCTTCAAAACGACAAGTTTTCAAGTAGTCTGGAACTGCAATTTGAATTATGGCATGTTTGAAGTGTATTAACAAATGTGCTGAAATTTTAATAACTGCTATTATGATAACCATGATAGGGACGGATCTAGGGGTGGGGGATGCTTTTGGTTTATTTGTTAACTCTGATTTTCTGATGCCGTTTCAGCTATTGATTTATAATGACTGAGGTAGGACACTTGCCTTACCTTTTATAGCTGCTGCTTTTACCAACTTCCCTCTTCTCAACTTTATAGGCTTTCCAAACAGTAACTCCACGGGCAGCATGGATTTCTGGAAGTCTTGCGCAGTCTGTACATCATTCCCTTCGTTGATATACTTTCGTACATGGGCTTTAATCGTTGCAGCTTTTCGGTCGCACAGACCTTTTCCGCTTTGAGGATCACTAAAATCCACTCGATGTACACTGATTCCCGTCCTCTTCTTCATAATATTGCAAGCAGCAATCATGACAGAACTGTGATAACAGCTTGCGTTATCCTGGCATAGATATGCACTTGTTATTTGAGGGTGTTCCTCTTTAAGAGCACAGAGGACATGATCAATAATTTGCACAACCACTGAGCTATCTGAGAATCTTGCAGTTCTCTACGATATGGACCATTGTTTGACTTTGGAGGTTCCCTAGCTTTTTCCAAGCTACGACACTTATGTGCCATGAACTTCCTCTTTTTCCGAACCAGTCGGACTGTGTCTCTAAACTTTTGAGGAAGGAATTTCATGGCCCAGTCTTGTGTTATTAGCACTGATGTTTCGTCGAGATCCAGCAAAATATCTGTTCTGGCTTTGTCTTGCCTCACACTTCTCAACTGGTGGGCCTTCCAGGATTTTATGTCTTGAATCGAATGGCTGCAGGTAAATCGAAGACTGTCAAGCTCGTCTTGTGATACTTTCAATTGAATCAAATAGCCCTCGATGTTACTGAGAACGTCCTTTAGTTCCTCGCACTGTGCACAAAATATGCAATGATCGTGATCACATGACCCTTGCAAACAATTATCTTTTCTTCGTTCAAAGCATGAACACTGCAGTGGTCAGCAACAGAAGATGATTCTGTCACATGAAACTGAAAATAGCCATGATAATATTTGTATCATACGATGTGTTTTGATTTTAGTATCCCCCAGATCAAATAACTTACGCAATCATCTTAAATGGAAAA